CCCTTAAAGCCGACCACAGGGCCAGAGCGATAGTATGGTGGGGAGGGTGTTTGCCATGCATGCGGCCGACCCGGGTTCGATCCTCGGCATCCCATATGATCCCCCGAGCACTGCCAGGAATAATTCCTGAGTGCAGAGCCAGGATTAACCCCTGAGCATCGCTGGGTGTGACCCAAAAACAAAACAAAACAAAAGCCAACCATACAGGGTAAATCACAAAGGCTGTGGATGACGAAGCAAGATGAACCCTGAGGAGGAAAGCAGTGTGATTCTGGAGCCCAAAGGTACAAGTTCAAATTCCAGCCCTGCCACTTTCCAGCTGTGTGACATGCACAAGCTCTCTAACCTGTCTGGGACTTAGTTTACCTTTTTGGTTAGGGTGGGGGGACGCACCTGGTGGTGCCCAGGGGTTCCTCCTGGCTCTGCACTCAGGAATCGCTCCGGGCAGGCACAGGGAAACATGAAATGCCAGAAATCAAACCCGGGTTGGCGGTGGGCAAGGCCGATCGCTCCAGCCTTCACAGGGAGGTCTGAGCAGAACCAGCGTTACTTCCACGCCGACATCAGGACCCAAGGGTCTCCCCTAGTGTGGGAAACCATGAGGGAGGGCCTGGTTCGTTTGGTACCCGTTGTGGGTTGTTGCTGAACACCAGGACACCAGGGCAGAAGGCGGGGTTGGCCATTTGCTAGTTTAGGTGGAAGTGGGAACATTTCGCTGGGGAGGGGACGGGGAACAGAGAGGGGACACGAAGGGAAGAGAATACATTGAATTTCATCCCTGATGGGGGGGGGGAGGGCAGAAGGTGGTACTGCAGGCCGGTGGTTCCCACAATATAACCCTGCCCAGGATCAGCCTCAGCTGGGAAACAGATGCAAATCCCCGATCCCAGACCTAGGATCTTCTGGAAACTTTTGAAGGACAGAAGAGAGGGGACACCTAGGAATGAATGTTTCAAGCAGCCCTGGATGACTCAGATGCCCAGGTTTTGAGAAGGGGGCACTCCTAAATGCACAGGGCCAAAACCAGGCTTCCAGTGTTCAAATCCTGACTCACTTCCCATGGATGTTCGAAGGGGTTTTTTTGCAGGGGAATAATAACAGAACCTAAGTTATATGTGGGCTCTGAGCATTTACTCTTGTGAAATGCCTGGAAGTGCGCGCGCACACATACACACACACACACACACACACACACACACACACACACGTTTGCTATTAATGTTCTGTCCTGCTCTTAGGGTCTCGCGGAAAGTTCATTTTACTTCTTGGTCACAGCCGGCGATGTTCAGAGGTTGACTCCTGGCTCTGCACTCAGGAATAACTACTGACAGCGTTCGGGGGACCACATGAGATGCTGGAAATCGAAGCCAGATAGGCCACGTGCAAGGCAAACACGCTACCCGCTGTGCTATTGCTCCAGCCCCGGAAAGTTCATTTTAAAAGCCCAGACTGGAGGCGAGGCTGGGGATTGCAGTGTGTAGGCGCTAGCCTTGGCATGGGCCCCCGAGCACAGGGATGGGTGCCCCTCAATCCCTCCAGGAGTGAGCCTTGAGTGTGGGAAGTCGCTTCCCCCCCTCGGCCCCCCAAATAATAATAAGCCTCCAGCTACCTCCAGGTGTAGCCAATTAATGGAGAGGCCCAGGGGTGGATGGGAGGGGCACAGTTGTGCCCCATTAATCCGGCTTAACACACTTTATTCGGCTGTGTGGACTCATTACTGCGGGCTTTGTGGTCTTGTGGGTGAAGGTTAACTGCTGATTGACTTTGCTGATACGGAAACCACAGAGGGCCTGAGGGCCTGCCTTTTGCAAGGATGTGTTTTCGGTTAAGTGGACCGTATACAAGAGCCAATTAGGGGCCACAGGAAGTGGAGAGAGCCTGGATTGGAAAGGGCTGGGTTCTAGGCCAGCTCCTTGTGAGAAATTCCGTCTGCCTCTTGGAGCCTCAGTTTCCCCTCTCCACATGCTGGAGCTGGAATTCCAGTGGGGCGAGTGAAAACAGTATTAATGAGGAACATCCCGCTGCAGGGTGAGCCACTGCTTTTGCTTTCACTAGAGAGTCTATGGGGTGAAAGTCCAATTGGAACACGTCAGCGAGAACAAGCTGTCCTTCTCAGCATGGATAGAATCCAACCAAAAGAAGTAGTATTGTTGGGGACCAGAGCGAAGGGTCGACCCCGGTTTGACTCCCAGCATCTCCTATGGTTCTCCGAGCTCCTCCAGGAATAATCCTTGAGCTCAGAGGGAGGAGTAAGCCCTGAGCACCACTGGGAGCAGCCCCCAAACAAAAAGAAATAAATTGTACTGTTTCATAGTCACTGTTTCTTTTTGTTTGAGGAACACACTCAGGGAGCACCATCACTCGGGTCCCAGTCACTCCATTTTTACAGTCCCTTGACAGAAACATAAAGGTAAAGGTAAAGGTAAAGGCCCTCCCGTTGATCGTCGATTTGCTCGAGCGGGCCCAGTAACGTCTCCATTGGAGACTTTGTTGTTACTGTGTCTGGCATATCGAATACTCTCGGTAGCTTGCCGGGCTCTCCGAGAGGGGCGGAGGAATCGAACTCGGGTCGGCCATGTTGGCCGCTTGTAAGGCGAACGCCCTACCCGCTGTGCTATAGCTCCAACCCAACATGATAATCATTTTTCTCTTTTTTTTTTTTTGAAAAACCTGGGGATTTTCCCAGTGGTGTTGAGGAACCATATGATGATGGGAGTTGAATTGGGGTCATTCACATGCAAGGCAAGTGTCTTAACCTCTGTACTCTCTCTGGCCAGGACATTTAATTTCTAGTTGCAGTTTAGGAGAGAGATCAGATGTCCCCTTAAAATCTGTTTGCTTGAGAGGGCCAAAAAGATAGTACAGTGAGTAGGATGCTGACGTGGGTTCGACACCTGGCATCACATATGGTCCCCCAACTCCACCAGAAGTAATCAGTCAGGAGTAAGCCCTGAGCATCCAGGGTGTGTCTCCAAAACAAAACAAAGAAAATATATTTTTGCTTGGGACCAGAGAGATAGTACTGGGACTGGAGAGATAGTACAGCTGTTTGCCTTTCATGTGGCCGACGAGGTTAAATTCCCGGCACTGCATATGATCCCTGAGCACAGCCAGACGTGGCCCAAAAACAGCAACAAGAACTTTGTTTGCTTGAGGTGCTGGTGGGGATATAGCTCAGGAGTAGAGTACTAGCCTCGCCTACGCCTGCCTACGTGAGGTTTGATCATCAGCACCACAAAGAAAAACAAAAGCAAGACCCAGGACAGTAGTTTGCTTGAAAGCAAACCCTTGGACTCTGGAATGCAGAACTGAGCTAAACAGAATAGGGAGGAAGGAGTGAGTGAGTGGTGAGTGAATGGTGTGATCAAACACAATGGTGTCCATGCCTTCCAGGTTTGAGGTCTGAGGTTTGATGCCTGATATCCACCCCCCATCACCCCGACACACACACACACAAATACAGTATCTGTCAAGAGAGGAAAAAAGTCCCATAAACTAACATTTGAAAAAAATTTTATAAAGATAAAAGTAAAATTTGTGAATGAGACCAGTTGTAGTTACTGGTTTTGGCATATCGAATACACAGCGGATAGCTTGCTAGGCTCTTCCATGCGGGCGGAATTCTCTCGGTAGCTTGCCAGTCTTTCCGAGAGGGATAGAGGCTTTTGGGGCGACCTCTAATCACCCTTATTCAGGTCTCCCAAAGAAGAATAGAAAGAGCTATGCTTGGAATATCACGTTTCACTCAAATGAGAGAAAGAATCCGGAGTTCTGACATCTGTTGACGATCAAGAATCAGGGACGCTGCCTCATTTGCCAAGGTGTCGAAAATCAGATGGGCTGGTCACATAATGAGATTTAAAGACGACTGCTGGACTAGAGCTGTTACCGACTGGATTCCACGGGATGTCAAAAGACCACGTGGCCGCCCACCTACCAGATGGTCAGACTTCTTGTCAAGATCATGAACGATTGGTTTGAGGCCCTTCATGTTCCCGGAGTGAACAGATGCCATTGGGCTACACTAGCACGCGACAGGGACAAATGGAGACGTTACTGGCGCCCGCTCGAGCAAATCGCTGACTAACGGGAAGTTAAGTGATTAAAAGTAAAATTAAATTTGCTTAGTTTTAAAAAAAGGACTTTTTTGGAGGGGGAGGGGAACACTGGACTCCGAGCATAGTTTGTTTGTTCTTCTTTTCGGGTCACACCCGGAGCTGCACAGGGGTTACTCCTGGTTCTGCACTGAGGAGTTGCTCCTGGCAGTGCTCAGGGGACCCTATGGGATGCTGGGAGTCGAACCCGGGCCGGCTGCGTGCAAGACAAACGCCCTACCCGCTGTGCTATCTCTCCAGCCCTCAGAGCATACTTTTGGTTCTACACTCAGGGATCACTGCTTGAGGGCTCGGGCCCGACCATAGGGGTGCGGGGTTCCAATCGGGTTGTCCGCCTGCAAGGCACACGCCTTGACCCGCAGTACTATAGCTCAGTCCCCAAAGCCACTGGTTAGGATGACAAAGACTAACAGCACTAACGATTTTGGAAGATAGAAGCCCAGGAACCAAGTCTGAGCGGATACCGAGAATCTGCGGATAGGAGAGTCAGCCGTCTTCCTCTTTCACGAAGCCCTGAGCTTCTCACGCCCGGGGCCTTACGGCGGTGGGACCCCTCAGAGGGCTTGAGCGTCCCACAGCCCCGCCCCCGCCTCGGAGCCCCGCCCCCACCGCGTCCTTATAGGCCCCGCCCCGAAGTTCCCGCCCCTTTCGCGTCTTCACAGGCCGCGCCGCCACAGCCCCGCCCCTCAGGCCTCGGCCCCGCCCCCACCCCACCGCGTTCGTATAGGCCCCTCCTCTGAGGCCCCGCCCCCAACGTCCAGGCCCCGCCCCCACCGCGTTCTCACAGGCCCCGCCGCCGCGGCCCCGCCCCCGAGCCGCTCCTCTCGCGCGGTTTCGCCGCCGCCGCCGCGACCCCGCCCCTCCAGGCGCCTCCTCCTCGGCCGCCGGGGCGCTGCGCTCGGCGGCGGCAAGATGGCGGCGCGACAGGAGGCCCGTGCGGGCGGCGCGCAGGCGGCGGCGGGGCCCGCGGCCGACGTCGACCCCCTGGGTCGCTTCACGTGTCCCGTGTGCCTGGAGGTGTACGAGAAGCCGGTGCAGGTGCCCTGCGGACACGTGTAAGCGGGGGCCGGGGGCCGGGCGGGGCCGTCGCGGCGGCGGCGGCGGCGGCGGCGGGCGCGGCCCCTCAGGTCTGCGGCGGGGCGCGACCCCGCCCGCGGCTCCGGGGCTGGGGGTCGCCGTTACGCGCCCGCGGGGCTGCCCGCGGTGACGGCGACATCATTCGGGCCGGGCTCTTGTGAGCCGCGGCCGGGGCGCCCAGCGGCGGGGTGGAGGGGGTGGCGGGCCGCGGCCCCCGGGGCGCGCCGTCACGTGACGCCGCGCTGCCCGAGCGTTGGCGTGACCCCCCCCCCGCCCGGGGATGAGCTCGGGACCTGCCGTGGGAGGGGCGCCCCGGGGAGTGGGGTCGTGATGCCGGGCTGGGCCGGGACCAAGGTGGCCTCGGGGCTTGATTTACGGAGCCTGGACCGCGCGCCGCGTCCCGGCGGGGAGCTGGCGGTTGCCTTGCGACCTCGGAACCTTCCCTGGGTCAGGGGGCGACGGTGGAACAAACGGGGGGGCTCCTTCCTGGACTCCGGGGTCGGTTCCACCGCCCGCCCCTCCCCCCTCCCCCTCCCCCCGCCCCCCGCCCCCCCCCCCCCCAAGGCAGGTGCGGGGCCCTTTGCCCACTTTGCCGCCCGCGTGAAAGCAGACGTCGCTGCAGTTCACCGCTTGGGCGTTGGGTTTGCAGACAGACTTTGTGACCTGCCACACCCCTCTGCGACCCGGGGCAAAAGCTGGTGGCCGGGCGGGCGGGCGGGTGCTCCTGGAAGGGACCTTTGGTGACGGGCGGGGCGGAGCTGCGGGAAGGCCCAGGAATAAGGGAACCGAAAGCCAGCTGGGGATTGGAGGACGAAAACCAGCCTGGTGGGGGGTGGGGGTGTTTGATCATTGTGTGGTTGTCACCCAAACATGAAAGCTTTGTAACTATCTCACGGTGATTCAATAAAATTTAAAAAAATAAATAAGTAAAACCAGCCTTGCTGTGGGAGCCCTGGGCTTGAGTCCCCAAGTCCTCCTGACCCCTTAGCACTGAGCTGGGGGGGGGGGGCTCTTGAGCACAGCTGGATGTTACTGGCACGCACACACACACACCGCCACACACCCAACAAATGTTCTTTCAGGCCAGGGGGAGCTCTTCACTAGAGCACCTGGCTTGCATATGTGAGGCACTAACTAACAGTATTCAATCCCCAGTGATGATAAGAGAAGGAAAAGCTCACTCTGGTCATGGGCTCCCTTGGTGCATGCGTACCGGCTGGATTGTGCTTAGAGGAAGGCTTGGAGCTGCTGGCCCACAGACTGGACACGGTTTCATGATGTTCCCCGGGTCCTCTGGGCCCCAGGATTCTTCTGGGGCCATGCCTCTGAGCCCCGGCCATCAGCCCCACCTCCTCAAGCCGTGACTCAGGCCTTCTGCCGCTCGGACACCCCTATTCCCCCCGGGGTTGTCTCACGGGAGCCCTGTGCGTCCAGGCCCGTGCATCTCTTTCCTTACAATTGAGATCTGTTCAAAGGTTTCCTCCTCGACGAGGCTGAGATCCATGCCAGGTGGTCTCTCTGCCCTGTTTCATTTCATATGCTTAATTACTACTTGAAAGTCACCTCTGTGTTTGCCCCACTGTGGAATGGAAGAATCTTCTCTTGGCTCAGTGCTGGGGGAGCCCCTGGGATGTTCGGGGAGCAGAGGGTGGTGATGGAGCCCAGACTTCCCAGGGTGCCCATCTAGCTTGTTGAGCTGCTACTTTGGCTCTGAGGTAGCGACCTCACTTTACCACTGTGCCCATCGTTCCTTCAGCCTGCTTGCATTTTGCCTCGCAACATCAATAGAAAAATTCCTAGAAAAATTAAAATGGGGTTTTGGGGTGGCGTGAAGGGTTGGGCCAAACCCGGCAGTGCTCGAGGCATAGTCCTGGCTCTATGCTCAGGGATCACTCCAGGTGGGCTCAAGGGGCCATGTGGGGTGCCAAGAAGTAAACCTGGGTTCAGCATGTGCAAAGCAAACACACTGCCTGCTGTACTATTTCTCCAGTCCCACAGATTACTTTTATTTACTCACCTTGAGTTCAAAGGTAAATTAGGTGTGTATATGTGGCCAGTACTGCACTGCACTGTCCTCCCGTTGTTCATCAGTTTACTCGAGTGGGCACCAGTAACGTCTCCATGATGAGACTTGTTTTTGGCATATCGAATACGCCACGGGGAGCTTGCCAGGCTCTGCTGTGCAGGCAGATACTCTCGGAAGCTTGCCGGGCTCTCCGAGGGGGATGAAGGAATCGAACCCAGGTCGGCCTCATGCAAGGAAAACGCCCTACCCACTGTGCTATCGCTCCAGTCCACAGCCAGTCCATTTTACCTTTTTTTTTTTTTGCTGGGGAACACCTGGTGGTGCTTAGGGCTTACACCTGGCTCTGCGCTCAGGGATCACTCCTGGCAGGGTTCCGGACCATGTTGGGTGCTAGAAATTGAACCCTACCCACTTACTGCCACGCAGCACTGTTCATTCTTTTCTGTATATCTTAGTTTAGCGTTATCCGCTGCCTTGGGTTTAGGGTAGAAACATGGTTATTTTTGACCTTCCTTTTCTTCTCCAAATTCAGGAAGTTATCAAGTCTTGCTGATGCTGCCTTTAGTCACTTCCTGAATTAATTCTCTCGTGCCTCACAGTCCCTTGCTGTTAGTCCTTTCTTTGGTTTCTACTTCAAATCTTTTTGTTTTTCCTTTTTGGGTCCCTCCCAGTGCTGGGGAAACCATGTGCCAGGGAGCAAACTTGGAACTCCTGAATGTGCAACATACACCCCAGCCCTCTGCGGCATCTCCCTGGCCCCATTATTTTAAATCACCCTTAAAAAAAAAAACTGTCCCTGGGGCCAGACCCACACAGGACCATACAGGTAGACTGTGCTGGTTTTTTTGTTTGTTTCGGTTTTGTTTTGGCCCACACCAGCAGTGCCTACTCCTGGCAGGGCTCTGGGGACCATATGTGATGTCAGGTGTTGAACCTTGGTCATCCACATGCCAGGCCGTGCCCTCCACACTGTACTATCTCTGACCCAGCTGTACTATTCTTTGCCTTACCCCAAATAAAATCTTTTCCTTACCTCAAGATTGTTTTGTGTTGTTTTGGGGCCACTCAGAGCTCACATCTGGCTCTGCACTCAGGAATCACTCCTGGCAGTACTCGGGGAATCTCACAGGATCAAACCCAGGTCGGCCGCATGCAAGGCACGTGCCTCAGCCGCTCTGCTCTCTCTCCAGCCCCTTGATACTGCGCTTTAAGTATTTGATTGCCAACTACTTATGGGGGAAAGTGACTTATTTCCTCAGGTGCAACACAAATTCTTTGGGTTGGGGGAGAGAGTTGGGAGTACCCTTCGCAGTGCTGTACCACACCCGGGTACCACACCAGGGTCTGCCGCGTGCAGGGCGAAGCTTTCCCTACACTGCCTCTGGAGTCCTGGCAGCCTGACCGTGTCTGCTGTAGCTGCTCCTACCTTCGTTTCTTTCCTACCGTATTTTGCATTTCACTCTGACGGTCACAGCTTCCGTTTGGAGCACATGTCATACGTACTTGACGTTGTACTCTGGAGCTGCTAATGCATGCTCCTTTTTCCAGCAACCCTAGAGGTAGGTCCCATGCTCTGTTTCCAGGGAAAACTGAGGTTCCCGAAATCCCCCTGGCGTTGCTCAGGGGGCGCACAAATGGAGTAGGGCGCCAGCCTGTGGTCCCAGAGAAGGATCTTCTGTCACGCGGTGGTGGCGCCCACCCAGTGCCCCCAGTCCCATTTACTGGCCTTGGGAGATCCAGCATTTATTGTTGTTTTTATTTTCATTGTTGTTTCTGGCCACACCCGGGTTGCTCAGAGGTTACTCTTGACTGCGCTCAGGAATTACTCCTGACAGTACTTGGGGGACCGTGTGGGACGCCGGGGATCGAACCTGGGCCGGTCGCATGCACGGCAGTGCCCTACCCACTGTACTGTCGCTCCAGCCCCGAGAAGACCCCGGTTGTGGAGCAGGCCTAGGGAGCGAGTCGTTTTCGGTCCGTGAGGCCTCGACGTCCTTCTGGACGTTGACCCCTGTCTGTTGTCTGTCTCCACGGTGCATGACGCAGGTTCTCTGTGTGTCTTGTTCTAGCTTTTGCTCTGCATGCCTGCAGGAATGTCTGAAGCCGAAGAAGCCTGTCTGTGGGGTGTGTCGCAGCGCTCTGGCACCTGGGGTCCGGGCCACCGAGCTCGAGCGGCAGATCGAGACCACAGAGACTTCCTGCCATGGCTGCCGCAAAAATGTATGTGGACGTAAATGCAGGAGCCGGTGTGTGTTGCGTGAGGAGCGGGGCGAAGCGGCGTGAGCATGGCGCAGCGGCTGACAGCACGTGTGCACGCACGTTCTCTGTGGCATGGGCGGCCCCGTTTCTTTGGGCGACCTTGTATGCTGTGGGTCTGTTTTTTTAAGGGTTTCATATACTGCATATATTTGAGCAATGAAAGCCGTAGAAATCAGTTATCCCCACTTTGATACGAAAAACTCAAAATTTCAGACCATTTTGCACAATTGGAGGGCACACCCACCGATGTGCAGAGATCGCTCCTGGCTCTGTACTCGGGAAGTACTTCCGGTGGGGCGTAGGGGAACTACTTGGGATGCCGAGGACCGACCCAGGTCGGCCACATACAAGGCGAGCACCCTCCCGGCTGTACTCTCTCCAGCTATCGACCTTGCACAATTTCATTTGACTAGAAGGACCGCGTGGTACTTTTTTAAAAAATAGAGACTGAAGTCAGTGACTCAGGTGACCTGTGTGAGGGGAGGAAGTCTTATGCTGTGGGTCATTGCAGAGTGCAGTGGTTCCGCTTTCTAGCCCTTGGCAGCGAGGTGCTGGGAGACAAGGTCAGTGTGGAGGCAGCCGCGAGACTGGAGGCATCTGACTGTGGGGCCGCCTCCCACTCATCCTCGGAGACTCAAGTGAGTGTTTTCACTCAACTGCTGCTGCATGGAGAGATCCTGCCATCGTTATTTCCTAGGAGATGGATGTGGCCTTACAGGCTTCACACTCCTTATGGCTTTTTTCATTCCAGGCACTTCAGAGTAATGTTGGCTTCTTCCAGACTCCAGACATTCTCTCTGAAAATGACTCAACTTAGAGGACTGCAGAGTATTTTTTGTCTTTTTTTTTTTTTTTAAGTTTTGGGTGATACCCAGCTGTGCCCAGGGCTGACTCCTGGCTCTGTGCCAAGAATCACTCCTGGCGGGCTCAGGCCCATATGGGATGCCTGGGATCCAACAAGGCAAGCGTCTTCCTTGCTCGACCGTCTTTCCAGCCCTTTTTGTTTTTTGATAAGATGGAGGATTTTTTGTTTTGTTTTTGCTTTCTGGGTTGCACCAGTGATGCACAGGGGTTACTCCTGGCTCATGCACTCAGGAATTACTCCTGGCAGTGCTCGGGGGAACATTTGGGATCCTGGGAATCGAACCCGGGTCGCCTGCGTGCAAGGAAAACGCCCAACCCGCTGTGCTATCGCTCCAGCCTGCTTTAATGATGAGTTAAGATGGGTTTTATTGACAATTAGATGTGAGAGGAAAGAGAGGAAGTACATGTTGAGGAGAGAACATGAGTTTCTCTGGAATGGCAGAAGCCAGCAAAGATCCATAGAGACAAGCAGGTGAGATCTGTGTTCAGGGAGAGCGTGAGCTTGAAGAGCAAGCCAAGATGGAGGATTTTTCAAAATAAGATACTAGAAAAACCGTCTCCTTTTCCCCCTTTTGTGACTGTTGGGCAGCCTTGCATGTCTGCCGCAATGGCCGTGGTCAGAGTGCCGTTACCCACCCCTCATAGCCTGGAGCCCCCAGGTGTTGGCTGCAAGCCCCCAAGTACTTAACTGGAGGTAAGATAGAGGACAATGTGGTCAATCTGAGTGCAAATCGTTGGAAGTATTTTTCCTGGTATTTTCCTTTAATTTAGGAACCTCAGATACTGAAATAAAATCTATTACCTTCATCTTCATGTTCACAAAATGGGATCTTTGGGTTTTTTTACCTTTAGCATTTTTTTTCCCCATTTTAAGGATGAACAATTGTATGCTATTACAATTCTAAGTATATGAGGACTCCAGAAAGGGTTATTTTCCCTTTACTCTCTTCTCTTTTTTTGGGGGGGGGTCACACCTGGTGATGCTCAGGGTTTACTCCTGGTTCTGCACTCAGGAATTACTCCTGGCAGTGCTCGGGGAACCATATGGGATGCCAGAGATTGAACCCGGGTCGGCTGTTTGCAAGGCAAATGCCCTACCTACTATACTATTATTCCAGCCCCTCTTTGTCTTAACACTCTTTTAAGGATACCTGTGATGAAGTCTTCTTTGGGTTTAATTTTTTTCTCTCCTCTTTCCATCTTGTTAAAATTGGATTCTATAGGAGAAAGAGAATTCATGTTTCTAGAATTTTTTTAAAGGTCACTTATCAGTAATACTTAAGGATTACATGATCTCTGTTCATAAATGATTACTTTGCTGTACCGAATGGGGTTCTTACCGTCTGGACACTGGTTGAGATGCTAGTTTGAAACACTGAGGCTTGTATCTGTGAACAGGGAGCGTGTCAGGAGCGTATCCTAGGCAGTTCTTGAGGATAGTTTGAGAGAAATACCCCGATTTAGCCGAGTCACACGTAAGCCTTAGCAGTAACGCACCCACCGACCAAGCCGACAGGCTCTGCAGCCGCCCTGGGCTGGCCAGGAGTCTGGTGAGATTGGCGCCGGAGTCCTAGCAGTCCTAGGGCTTTGCTTTAGGACGGCGTGGACCTGACCCCAGGTTCTTACTGACTGGTGGGCTCTGCTTCTTCCTGTCCAAGTTCTTACTGTCTAAGATCCGGTCCCATGTGGCGACCTGCTCCAAGTACCAGAACTTCATCATGGAGGGCGTGAAGGCCACCACCAAAGATGCATCCCTTCAGCCCCGGTAAGCGGCTCGGCCCTCCCCAGGTGGGGGTCATTCTTTGTCACACAAAGAGTGGGCACCTCGGAGGGCCCAGGGCCTCGGTGGGTGGGCGAGCCAAGGGCAATGCTTTTCTGTCTTCCGGAGGGTGGCGAGAGCGGCTGGGGCCGGCCGCTGAGGGCTCTCTCCCTGCCTTTGCTCTTCCAGGCACGTACCAAACCGTTATACCTTTCCTTGTCCTTACTGTCCCGAGAAGAACTTTGACCAGGAAGGACTTGTGGAGCACTGCAAGCTCACTCACAGCACGGACACCAAGTCTGTGGTAAGAGGAATCTTTCGGGGACCACACCCATTGGCACTCTGGGATCGCGCATGGTGGGGCTCGAGGGGCCCGCTGGGGTGCCGGGCATAGAACCGCACGAGAGGCTCGTGCTTTACCCACTGGCTCTCCTGCCCCCACCTTTTTTTTTTTCTTTTTGGGTCTTTCCAGCATTGCTCAGGGGTTCCTCCTGGCTCTGCACTCAGGAGTTACTCCTGGCGGTGCTCAGGGGACCCTATGGGATGCTAGGAATCGAACCCGCGTCGGCCACGTGCAAGCCAAAGACCCTACCCGCAGTGCTATTGCTCCAGCCCCCGCCTTTTCTTTTTTGACATAAGGAGAAAAACCCAATTCACAGGAAAAAAAAGAGTTCATAGTGATTTTTCTTCATTTCGGCTCACAGATCACTTGGTTGGTAGTATAAAACGGGTATGTTTTTGCCGAACCGTTTGAGAATAAGTCACAGGTGACGTATTAAGTCGCCCTGGCTTCCGAATAGGTCAGCCCATATCTCCTAAGAGCATCGTACTAGGAAAGCATGATTTGGGCGTCGGGGGAGGACAGCCCTCACAGGGGCGAGTCCCATGCGGGGGTCCAACCTAGTTGGGCTGCCCCGGGGGCAGTGCGCGCTTAGCCTAGGGCGAAACAGACCAGCTTTTGTTTAGGGGCCATACTCACTGGTGCTCAGGGCTTAGTCCCGGCTCTGCGCTCAGGGATCACTCCTGGCGGTACTTGGGACCGTTTGTGGTGCCCGGAAGAGGAGCTGGGGTGCTGGTGCGCCAGGCGGGTGCCCTCCAGCCCCAGGGCTGCTTCTGGGGCCTTCGGTGTGCTGGCTGGGGGATGGGCGGGGGCCGGCACGGAGCCAGCCTCCTGCCTAGCGGTGGTCTCTCTCTCGCAGGTGTGTCCCATCTGCGCCTCCATGCCCTGGGGCGACCCCAACTACCGCAGCGCCAACTTCATCGAGCACATCCAGCGCCGGCACCAGTTTTCATACGATACCTTTGTGGTGAGTGTGGGGCTGAGCCGTCTTCCCTCCTTCCCCGGGGCAGCGCCAAGCCGCCCGATGGACTCGGCTGCTCACCTCAGCTCTGGCTGCGCCCCGGACCCAAGGGAGCAGCCGGAGCCTTGGGGCGAGGACCTGGCCGGTGGCTCTTAAGGAAAGCTGCTCACCGGCTTGCGGGGACACTCGCGCCCGTGCCCTGCCAGGATTGGACTTGGGCCCTTGTACATTCAGGCACGTGGGGTCTTGGAGTGTTTCTCTCTTTCTGGACCAGACCTGGCAGTCCTCGGGGGTTCCTCCTGTCCCTGCACTCAGGAATCACTCCTGGTTTCTCGGGGATGGAGGAATGCGGGGCGTGGAGCCTGGTTGGCGCCCTGCCCACCGAACTCTGGCCGGGCCTGGCATTCCGGGGTGTGCGCTCCTCCGCGTGTTGTGTCTGCTGCCTCTCGCTTCTTTGGCCCCCAAAGCGTTTGCCCCCTTCTCTGAATGCGTGTCGTGTTTCCCCGCTGTCCAGCCTCCTTTGGGATCCTGAAGCTCAGGTGTCCTCAGACAGGGCAGATAAGAGAAATGGGCTCTGAGGGATTTGCCGGCCAGACGGGGTGACTCATGTCCTGCTGCGCTCGTGCGGAGCTGCGGGCACGGCAGCTGCCGGGTCAGACAAACGCCCAGCAGAGAGGGGGCCGCTGTGTGTCTCCCCGCGCCCCAGATCAGCCAGTGCAGCAGCCCGGCCCCTCCCGCGAGGGGCCCCCGGCTCAGCGGCTCGTTGTGCCCTCAGGACTACGACGTGGACGAGGAGGACATGATGAGCCAGGTGCTGCAGCGTTCCGTCATCGACCAGTGAGCCCGCCCCGCCTTGCCCCGCTGTGTGCCCGGAGCTTCCGTGATGTGCCCACGCGCCCCGTGCGACTCCTCCAACAGACCTGGCCTGAGCCGTGGCGGCAGACAGGGCCGCTGGGGACGCGGGAGCAGGGCTCGGTCTGCGTCCTCCCTGCCTCCTGGCTCATCCCCTAGTGCTCATCTTGTCGTTCCACGGTCTGGTCTTTCTGCGCCTCACCTGCTTCTGGGAGTTCCCGCTGCCCCCGAGGGAGGAACCCCCCCGCCCCCCCACCGGTCCTTGTTTCTCCGAGCTCCTCCCATCCAGCCCTCACCCGAGTTCTTCAAGCCCACCTGGACTTTTTTTGCGTCGTGAATAGCACAAGTGAGATGCCTGTGTCCCCCGGCCAGGGTGACTCCTAGCCTGGGTCTGACAGTCACCTTGTCTCTGCCCTGCTTGTTCCTGCGACTGGCGCTGGCCAGGAACTGAAGCGCCTGCCTGGAATCCACCCAGACGTCTGTCCGCTGGGGTGAATGTTCGGATTGGCGATACCATTTTCTTACTCCTGCACACTCTTAGTTAACTGGTTCAGTCTTAAATGCCTGCATGGTGCCTTTTTTTAGGATAAGGTGTAACCATATATTTTTAGTGAGAATAAGTGCTTCTAGGTTAGGAAAGTGAAACTCCGTCTGTCAGTGGGAGAAAGGTCAGCGGGGAGAGCCGGGGCGGGGGCTGAGTGTTACCGTGTGGTTTTCAAATAAGAGAGATTTTTGGATGACTGGTTTGTGATTCTTCTCGAGTGGAGAACCTGCTTACGTTCTTGGTCCTCCCCGTGTGAAAGGAAGAAATTTGGGGACTCTGTGGATACTAGTTCTTTCACCTTTAATTTGGGAACTTGGGAACTTTATTTTTTTTGTTGTTCCAGCTAGTCTTTAGGACACTGCTGTTAACTGTGTGTGGAGACGAGTGGGCGTGGCGCTGCCGCACTGTCCCCCCCCCCCCCCACACACACACACACGGAAACTGTTCTGGGAAATTCGCATCGGTAACTGCTCCAGAATCCGGATGTTCCTCCTGTTTCACAGATCCCCATAGATACAAGGCCCAGAGCTGCCAACCGCCTCCTCAGAGCAGGCATGCACTTGTCCATTTTTTTTTTTTTCATGTCAGACGCCCGTCGTCTGGACGTGGAGATGCGGTGGCTGGCTGGACCAGGACTAGGAGTGTCTCGGGGTCCAGCCTGCGCCTGCTGGGGTGGGGTGTGTGTTTCTGCTGTGCTGTGGTTCGGGAGGGCCTCATTTGAAGCTCACGTCCACTGTCATTTCGGGGGGAGTCCACGCTGCTCTCTGGCGTTCATTCCAGCCTGTCTAGAGGGGACGTGGACAAGCCTTCAGTTGAGGGAACCGCCTGAGAGCACATGCTGGTCGCACCAAGAAACTGACTGCCTTGTGTTAAGTGCACTTCACGTATTTCTAATAAGACGACTTTCCAGAAAGTGAAATTTGTTATGTTTTGGCTTTTAGGTGAACTGTAAATAAATTTCATAATTTATCCAGCTGGAAAGTCCCGAGACCTGTTTTCCTGAGTGACTGTTTGCTGGTGTCTGGCCCGGGAGCCTCCAGGAGGCGGCGGGTCCTGTCTTGGGTCGCTGGCTCTGGCCTGTCCTCTCTGGAAAACACACCCGCACTGGGCGCTGCTGGGCGCGGGTCCACCGGCCTTGGCACAGAGCAGCGGGCTCCGGAGGGCCCATGTGTGCGGTGGGCTTGTCCCTGGATTCTGACCGGACCGGGCGGGGGAGCCCTGCCGTACTGAACCCAGGGCACGTGCTCTCCTCACCCGGCTCCCCGGCTCGTGGGTACGGCGCCTGCATCAAATTTGGGGAGTGCTGTTCCTTTCTTTGCCTTTCTGCTTTCTGTGATGCTCAAGGGCCCCCATACTCCCGTCTCACTGCTTGGGGGCGCTCCTGGAGGTGCTAGGATTAAACCCCAGCTCCTGTCAGCCCGGGTTCTTTGAAGCACCACCAACATCGATTATTGTGATCCCTTCCTAGTCTGTACGCATGTCTCCAGTTCACCTGGGACCCCAGCACAGCCCCGGCTGGAACCCCATTGGCTGTGCTGATGTTCACTTTTGTTTGGGGGCCTCACCAAGTGTGCTCAAGATCCCAGGTCGGCTGTGAGCGAAACCAGAGCCCTCCCATCTCTCACCCCTGCAGCGTTGGGCATCACTTGTGTCCGGGGACTCTTAACAGCACAGGCCCCAGGCTCTGGACCCCACTGCAGCCCAAAGTGGCGGCCCCTACAGTGAATTCTCAACTTGATGTTCTCGCGGCAGGGGTTCCTCGGGCCCCAACTATCTCCCTAGGCCTGCAGTCGCTTGCTTACTGGCTGTGACCCTCAGCTGAGCTCTCGGGGCAAGGCTGGGTCTTGTGCCTCACTGCCCTTGGTGCTTGGCACAGTGTTGCGAGCTGTGGAACAGGACTGAAAAGACTTGTTCCCATGGCTACTTGCATTGCGGGTGCAGAAGGACCTGAAGGGAGCATTTCCCTCACTCCATCACCTGCCTGCCTGGAGCAAGAGCACGGCGCAGAGGGCGTAGGGTGTTTGCCTTGCATGCGACTGACCTGATCAACCCAGGTTCGATTCCTCCATCCCTCTCAGAGAGCCGGGCAAGCTACCCGTGACGTATTCGATACGCCAAACACAGTAACAACTGTCACAATGGAGACGTTACTGGACTCACTTGAGCAAATCGATGAATAATGGGAGTGACAGTGACACCATCTGCTATGGACTGGCCCCGCCATCCGTCGCCGCGGGGAGACGGTCCTCAGCCGGAAGTTCTTAGCCCAGCAGAGGGTGGGCAGCAGGTGGGTGCATCTAGGTGCCCAGTGGGATGTGTCCCATGCCCTGACCCCCACCTGGGCCTGGCTTCTTGAACAGTCCTCACCTTCCCCTTGGGTTTCCCACGGTTCTCCAATAGGAACAGTGAAGACCATCATTTTCTTTTTCTTTTTTTTTCTGGATTTTTGCCAGTTGTGCTCAGGGCTTCCTCCTGGCTTTGTGCTCCAGGATCACTTGGGGCAGTGCTGGGGGACGGTGTGTGATTCCAGGGGTCACCTGGGATCAGCCAGGTGCAAGGCCAGCGCCTTATCCCCTGCGTGCGCTCTCCGGCCCAGATTACTGTTTTTCATCTCTGGTACCTAATCATTCTGCCGCCAAATAATCTTTAAACTTCCCGCTCTGGCTTCTGGAAGCGGAGTCAAGCCAAGCTTTGTCCCTGGAACCCGTGCGCTACCCACAGGGAAGCCGCCCAGCAGGTGTACCTGGGTGGAGACTGGCGGGTGCACGGCCACCCTATTCACTTGGGTTCCAGAAGAATCTTCTAATCTCTTTGTGCTTTGGTGTCCTCATCTGTAAAATGAGATTAACTCGAGTCAACCTCCAAGAGTCGTGGGAATCTGGTGACCCCCGGCCTCTCCGAAGCCTCTAGATCAGGGCCTGCCGCAAACCAAGTACTTAAACTTCATTTTTCTCATCCATGCTCGAGCGCCTGCTGCCCCCAAACAGCTGGCTGTGTGGAGAGTGACCGTGGGCCCTGAAGACCAGCAGCGCCTGGGAGACATTGGCAGTAAAACGGACCCTCAGGCCCCCTGACTTGGAGATTCTGAGCGGCAGATACGGCCTGAGACGATCTTTTGTTTATTTGGGGGGTCACACCCAAGCAGTGCCCAGGTGCTGTTCCTGGCTTAGCACTCATGGAGGTACTCAGGGATCGAACCCGGGCCTCTTGGAGCACAGGCCTAGTGTTGTAGCCTGCCAGTCTCTCTCGGAACCTGTAAAGGGCCTCGGAGAGATGGGGGAGAACACAGGAGGAAGTGCTTGCCTGTTTCCCATCCTTGGCACACACGGGCCCTGATCACAGCCAGGGGTGGTCTCCAGACAAAAAGAGCCTTCGAGGGGCAGGAGAGAGTCCTGGGGTCAGGGTGCTTGTTTCCAAGCACATGCCTGAATGATCCCTGAGTACCTCCAGGTGTGGTTAAAAAAAAAAAAAACCCTCAAAAATAAGAGAACCTCGGGGGTTGGAGGCTGGAGCTTGGGTTTGATCCCACCCTGCATAGTCTCCTGGCCCCAGCACATAGAACTAAATAAATTAAAAAACCTCAGAAAATGCACCCTTAGTGTAGGAAATGCTGCCATAAAGAGGCATTAGTGTTACAGCAAACTTCTTGGATTTAAGGTGGAACAGCAGGTGGGCTGATGGTCAGAATCGGGTGGACGTGCCCAGCCTTGTCTTACGGTTGCACGAGAGTGGCTCTTCATCTGGTGATAAAGATCGTCTTTTTCTGTGGACTTCAGTTGTCCCTTGCAGGCTGCTCCCAGGGGAAACCGGTGGAGAAATCCCCAAAGAATGTTCTTCAGGGAGAAGTTAGTAACGGTCAGAGCACGGTGGGCAACTGGGGGTTCCCAACCCTGACACCAACACACACGACACAGAATAAAGAAGAAAGTGGCACCCTAAATGGCCACGTCCGTCAGTAGACAGATGATCGTTCCTCCTGGGTCACCATCTTCGGGTGTGAGAGAGAGAAGCAAGATTTTCTTGAAAGAAATTTGCTCGGACGCACTGGAGCGATAGTACGACGGGAAAGATGCCAGCCTTGCACGTAGCCGACTTGGGCTCACTCAATCCCTGGCGTCAATCCACATGGTCCCCTGAGCACTGCCAGGAGAGATTCCTGAGTGCAGAACCAGGAATAACCTCTCAGCATTGCTGGGTGTGGCCCAAAGATCAGAACTAATAGCTGAGATGTGAGAAGAGAAAGAGAAACGGGCTTTCCAGTGGCGGAGAGGCTCGTATGAGATTCAGAATGCAGTACTGCGAACACTCAGCGTCTGGTTTGTTACGCTGGGCGTTTTACCCCCTGGCCTGTCCCCTCTTGCCTTGCCCATGTGGCCAGGGCACTCCCGGTGAGGACAGGCCCTGTTCTTTGTTGGTTTTGCTCCACACCTGGCCCTGCTCAGTGCTCGGGGGGTCGGTCCTGGCAGTCTGTGGAACCGGGTGGGGTGGGAGATCAAATATGGGCTGGGTAGTCCACCCACAAGCCTGTCCACCGCCCTCACCTCTCTGACCCTGGCCCGTGTCACCCGAGGCTGTCTAGCTCTTTTCCCCTTTGGCCCCATTGGAACCAGAGCGCAGACGGGGCCCGCATGGTTCCACACACCCCTTGGCCACTTGCTGAGTCACTGGGGGAGAGGACAGAAGCTTCTGGTGCAGGGAGAAACTGAGGCAGAGATAGGGAGATGGACGAGCCAGGGAGTGGAGACAGCTGAAAGGGACAGTGGGGAGAGCAGAGCCTGACTCTGAGGCCGGAAGCGGCAGGAATGCAGACTGAAAAGTGACCAGTGGCTTGGGACTCACACCCTGCAGACAATTGTCCAGGAGGCCGAGGTCAGAGTCCTTCACAAGGATCTCCAGCACTATTGTTGCTGGGAAGAAAAGACTGGGACACCGCCCACGGGCAATCAGGTAGATTCAGATTGTGCTCTCGGTGCTGAGAGGAGGTGGCCTGCCCTCAGGCTGCCCAGGGGAGCAAATTAAAATCTTTCCAAGGGAAAAAGCCTGTTGCTGAAAGCAGATGGAGATGGAGAGAGGGTGGAAAACTGAAAAAGAAACGGAGGGCCGGAGCCTTAGGACAGCGGGTCAGCGCTTGTTTTGCCAGCAGCAGAAGAAAACGGAAATCACTCCTCACCCCACAAATCATCAGACGGCCCTTCCCTCCCACGGTGGAATTGGGGTGGGCACAGCTGTGGTGGGGTCACATCTGGTGGTCCTCGAAGCTACTCCTGGCAGTACCTGGAAACCTTATTTCTGGCTAAAACTGAACAAAAGAGGCCCAGTTACAGTTGAGTTTCCAATAAAGTTCATCTGCATCAGATCTGTAAATCCTATTTGTTTTGGATTTTTTTTATTTTTTAATTTTTGGGTCACACCCGGCGATGCACAGGGGTTACTCCTGGTTCATGAACTCAGGAATTATTCCTGGCAGTGCTCGGGGGACCATATGGGATGCTGGGAATCAAACCTAGGTTGGCTGAGTGCAAGGCAAACATTCTACCTGCTGTGCTATCGCTCCAGCCCCTAAATCCTATTTTTTCCTACCTGAAATTCAGATTATTTGTGGGGGGAACCCACACTGGGCAGTGCTCAAAGCTTACTCCCAGTGTTCAAAGCTCTGTGCCCAGGGCTCGCTCCTGGCTCTGTGCTCAGGTCTTAGTCCTGGTAGTGTTTGGGGCTCAGGGGACCATATGCAGCTTTTTTTTTTTTTTGCTTTTTTGGGGGGTTATACCAGGTGATGCTTAGGGGTTCCTCCTGGCTCTGCACTCGGGAATTACTCCTGGTAGTGCTCAGGGGACCAGGTGGGATGCTGGGGATCGAACTCAGGTCGGCTGCATGCAAGGCAAACACGCTGTACTATAGCTCTGGCCCCTTGAGTGGGCATTTGTACTGGAGTCATAAAATCAGACTGGCATGTGTGAGCATGGAAGATTTCTGCA